CCTGCTTTGAGATTTAGACACGAGGCAAAACTGGAAACAGCTTACTGATAATGAGTTATGTTTCTTGGCAAGCTATTTTCATTAAAAGTGCTTAAATGGGGCAACACAGAACTTCATACATTGAGGGGAAAGACTTAATTTCTTTGTAGTTGACCAGGTACTATCTTGAAAATTAGTTCAACATAACTAATTTAGGTTAAATTAATTTGTTAAATGGCTTCATGATGGCAGTTTGGGTTCAAAAATACTACAATTATATATAGTATTTACAAAGTCATGAACACTTGATACATTTTTAAAAGCACCCTTTGGAGACCATTCTCAAACTTTAAAGCTGATAATGTGAGAATACATAGGCATAAAAACATTTCAGTATAGGATAACCAAGTCAACACCTCTCCTTACACTGAAAGGTTTGACTAAGTGGATAAGAATACAAACAGCCCCTTGTGAACCCCCTTGCTAGTAGCCAGTTACAAAGCAGCCTTTCACCTGCAGTATGGTGTGTTCTGGGCCTTGAGATTCAGCATTTGAGAGTGCACATCATTTTTCAGGTGTAATGCTGGGTGCTTCCTGTAGTGATCCTTTTATATATGGGGACACTGAAGCTCTTAATTCATCCAGGATTTTGTAGTTATTCCCATGGCCTGAAAATACAGTATCAAAATGAGTATCATTACTTGGATTGACAAAGCTATTCTAAACTGGGCTTATTAAAGCTCCCCAGACACTAAAAATTTTGGAGCTCTACTCATTGATCTTGGTTTACTGCATCCATAATGGAACAAATGGGAGTAATTGTTAAAATGAACCAGGAACTTGACTACCCAACTGAGTCTTTATGATTCCATTTTATTTACTTGAGGCTTTTTTTCCCTGTAAAAAAACACTATACTCTGTCTTAATTGAGTGTTGAGCAAATGAGATAAAATTGCATTGTATTTCCATGGGAGACTAGAAGTTGACTAGAAACTAGCTCCATCCAATTGTACACAGATGTCTGAGTAGTAGTGTTCAGTTCTGAACCTCTGAGCAATCTTTCTTTACTTGTGAAATATTGGATTCTGCTCCACAGAGAATTGGTAAGTGATGTGATTGTCGTTCCTGTAGTGAGAGCCCTGTGAACTAGGCTTAGTACCTCTTTGTGACTCGATACTGCCTCCTAATGACTATTACTTCCTTTTCTAGGTGTTAGTATACTTAAAAAGAATTGAGTGTTGTCAGGGACCCTGTCAAGTTGCTAATAAATACTGGTAGCCACTGCTAAGCCAGAGAACAAAATAAATATGCTGATCCTTGGCAAAGCACCCTTCTATGTTGAACCTCAACCAAAGCATCTAGATACAGATTTATGTTAATAAATTCACTAAATTCTTTTAGTTTAATAGCATATAATGTGTGAGGCCAGATTCATTTAAAGCTTCTACAACTATCTTTTAAAAAGTAGATGTAATTCAACTTGAGCATTTTCTTTTCCGTTTGCGTTTGTCATGTAAAATTTCCAAGTCTGTAGGTTGAATAATGCTAAGGATGGCGGCAGAAGAGATCTTACCAGCTGTGTTTCCTGCATTGGTTAACTAACCATCTGCTACCTGCCAGCAGCATTTGGGTGATGGAGGAGTTGAGAACTCAAGGAGATTAAATTGTCTTTAAGACATCTAAAGATGAAAAGATTTCATTTTAAACATTTCAAAAATCTAGGATTTATGTTAGGCCTTTTTTTGTATTTGTGTGTCTTTTATAACCTGAAATTGTTCTTTTATCTTTTTGTGGCACAGATAAAGAATTACTACAAACACCCTCAAAGTCCCCCTCCGTTATCCAATTCAGTACTTTTTTCATTTAAGTAACATTTTTTTTCTTTTACATAAGAACCATAGTTTCCCCTACCCCCTCTCCTCCCCTGTCCCCCAATGTGTCTCCTGTCCCCCCCTTCCAACCTACCCCCATCTCTTCCACCCCTCCATCTCCATTCAGAAGGGCAGGCCTCCCATGGGCTTGAGCAAAGCATGGCACATCAAGTTGAGGCAGGACCAAGCTTCCCTCCTTGTGTCATGCTGTATACTGTATGTGTTAGTACTTCAGGGGGAGGACATGTACAGGGCAATACATATTTTGCTTAATTTGCTTCATCAAGAAAATCAGATGTGGCAATAAATTGCACTCTTGCAGATGAGAAAATGATGTTGGTAGAGAATGTGGCACTGTGATTTATAACATCTTTGAATGACATGAAGTCCAATAAGAGTTAAAAAAAAAAAAATGGGCCATTTATGGTAGTCCTACATGCCTTGAAGTCTAGCACTTGAGTGGCCAAAGTATGAGGATTGCAAATTTGAGGCCAGCCTGCAGGTTAAACTCGGTCACAAAACCAAACTAAAAGAGGTTAGCATAGGGGAGGGATCTGTAGGGAAAGAGGAAGATTGATTGAGGAGGAGGGGTGAGAGAAGGTATATATTACTGTAGTCAGAACTCTGCATACATGTATGAAATTGTCAAAGATTAAATTTACTAATAAAATGTCAAATGATTTTAAACATTTTATTTGGAATGCACTTAGCTCTCTCACCCATTCCTGGTTAATGGAGAAAAGGAGCAGAGACACTTAATTTGAGACAAATAAGAGGTGTAAACCAAAAAAATAAAAGACCGAGAGACTGGTATTGGGGGTTAAGCTTCAAGTTGAAGCGCACGCGCACACAGAGAGAGAGAGAGAGAGAGAGAAGGGGAGAGAGAGTGTGAATGGAAAGCCACTGGGAACATGGGCTGTGTAAGGTAGATGCATCTCTTAGGATAGTTACTGAGGAATACTGAGCAGACAGAGACAAGGACAGGTGGAAGAGATAGGAAAAGCCACTAAGATAGGAGCTATGACAGAAGAAATAAATATTAGTTCAGACTGAGTATACACAGGAGAATAATAAAATATATGGGGGCACATAACATTTCTTTTGATAGGTATTTCTTGGTAAAATTTTTATATATTTAGTATTGGGTGTCAGGATTTCAGTATGTATCCCACAGTGGTATCAAACGTGTAGCAATTACCCTGTCTTAATCTGCCAAATACTTGAGTTACTCTGCGTGCCAACATGTACAGATTTATAGAGGTCATCTAAAGGAGATATGTAGGAGCCTGAGCATGGGCAGCAGGACCAGGTGCAAACAGAAGAGACGGAAGGACCATTCTTCAGAGGTAAAACAATATGTGTTCTGAATGCCTGTTCCTCAGAAATTTTAAATGCCTAGGACCTGGACTGTAATAGGGTTTCATTAGAACTGATGCTTCTGTCCCCGGAAGAAGGAACAGAAGTCTTAGGGAAATTGGAGTAGAGCAAGAAGATGAGGAGAAAAGGAAGAAATGGTTACTTCTTAAGAGCAGTGTTGGAAAATTTTGTGATTAGGAAAAGAGCAATGAGAAGTAGTTAGGGGGTTTTGGTTTTATTTTTATTAAGTATTGGTGAATTGTATGCTTTATAAAGGAATTGAAGCATTGATTTATACTTACAAAGTTGAGAAACATCTTTTAGAAGCAGGAAGTGGTCATCTTCCTAAGGGCTGGCCTACTTGGCCACAGGAAACAACCCGGATCACTTAGCTTGGTGGGTTCACAATAGTTCTGGGAGAGTGAAGCATAACAAAGGAAGAAACATAAAGACCAGCAAGAATTCTACACAAAGAATATTAATGCAAGTAAGAGGAATGATGCCAGTTCGAATTGCATTGGAAGTAGTGTTCAAATTCTGAGTAATTTGGAGTTACTGCAGTAGGAATTTGATTAATGACTATTAAGGACTACAGGATTCTCCGTTTGGGAGTTCAAAACTATGTGAATGGTATTTAAGTCACAGGATTGAATGAATACAGTAATAATATAGGATTTAAAAATGAAATAGATTCTGGTTACATTGTGTTAGATTTGATGTAGTTTGATTTCAGTTTAAATATGAGTGTAAGGCTTTATGCATGTTTTTAAGGGTGTTGATTGTTGTTTATCTGGTTCCTCAGTATTAGAGATCAAGAACAACCAATGAATTAATCTGAGGATGAATCATAAGAAAGGCATAGCTCAAACTAGGCAACTGTTCCCTCTTTTTAAAATTACAGGGTTTTGTTTTGTTTGTTTGTTTGTTTTTGGTAATTTAGTATGTCTAGTCTCTCTGATGGGAGAGGGTACAGTTTATGCTACAACACACAAGTGGAGGTCAGAGGTCAAGTTCAGGTGTAACACTCTGCTTGTGATGTTCTTGTACTGAGAGAATGATGATGGGTCTTTCCGTTTAGTCATATTCATAGTCTCAGGACAAAAGAGTTTAGACTTTACTAGGGCTTTGGTTTAGGCAGATAAGGAATGAAGGCTAATTTACTGAGGACATTTCCAAGGACGTGATTTTAATAAATGGCTATGAAATTCAGTCTAGTTAAACAGAACAGCAAGGACACAATGAAAGGTGGTCTAGGTCAGGAATACATTCTGATAGGATTAATGGGCCTTAGTTGTGGTGAATTCAGTCTTCAGTTTTGTGACTAGACAAGTAAGATGGAACATGAGAGGCGTATTCACAAAGCGTGTTTAATTGTGAGAATATCCAGGGATGCTAGTTTTGTTTAGGACAAGCTGTAGCAAGCAAGCGTCCATGCAAGTGTAGCTATCACAGGCAGAGATCCATCTCCTCTATCCTAATTTCACTTGGTTAAAGTACAGGCTATTAAATATATCCTTGAAAGAGAATAGAATATTTATTTCTTTCCTGATATATGAAAATCTGGTCAGCTAGTTCAACTGGATCACAATCAAGACTGTGATTGCGCAGTGGAATGCCTGAGCAGTTTCTAGGTAACCAAAATCTGTTTTGATCCCCGGATGTAGCCAGGTGAACAGTCTTCACACACCTCCGGATTGTGTCAGAGGACGCTGTGAATGAGGTGGTTGGGGCGGAGCACCAGGGCTGTTGGGTAGGAGTCCCAGGAACATCTCAGACAGTATTAAAAGCCTTGTCACCATGAAGAAGGTCTTCAGCTTCTGGGGAAAGGGCAAGACCAATGAGTCCAACAGCCATTTCTCTGATCTGTCCGTGAACATGGCTAGGGCCACCCCCAGCCTGCCCACAGGTGGGGGACATCACCGTCAAGATAAGCACTTGAAGAAACTTCACAAAGCTGCTTCAGTTGGCAATGAGCAGAAATTGAAGGTGTACCTTGAACGCAAGAAGCATGATGTGAATGGGCAGGACAAAAAAAGCAGGTGACCAGAGGCCAGGATATCGAAGGGCATTGGGGAGACAGGGTTGGGGGGACTGTCTGTTCCAAACAAAGAAAGCATGTCAGGGGTGCCGAAGACTCGACGTCATTGTGGGTTTTCCCGAGCAGAGGCACTGTATTTTTCACAGACACACGCTTTAACTTTTGGCTTCTTATTTATCTTACTTGTCAATGTTTGCCTAGGTGTCAAACCTGTTTCCTTTCCCTTTAATCCCTTCTGCACACTGTTTTCTCTCTTCCGTTTGCTGTTTTTCCTTCTTGGTATGCGTTGTATTCAACAATCTAACCCTTTATTTTACTAACGTGAAAACAGACAAAAGAGGAGAGGCATCGCCAAGAATGAAATTACTAAGACTTTGCCTGGAAGTACCAAAATAAGCAACACACTTTGGGTTAAAAAGAAACTTGATAACAAACTCCTTGGGAAAACAATGATGGTTTTCCTTTTTTTGTATTACACATTTATCTTTTAAAAAAAAGATTTTTTTTTTTTTATTTGAAAGTGTGCCTGTTTGAGATCATGTGCATCATGTCCCTGCTGAAGGGAGGACACTGGACCTGGAGTTCCAGACAGTGCCTGATGTGGGTGCTGGGGACTGAACTCAGGTCCTCTGTAAGACCTGTAAGTGATCTTAATGGTTGAGCCATCTCTCCAGCACCAGTGTGTTACCATTCTCTAGCACTCATTTGCTCAGCTTTAAATTGATTTTTTTTCAACAAATATATGCTTCATGTATATATGAAACCAGACAGTGTGTGGAATCTGTGATAAAGCAAATAAGCATGCTAAATTACCCAATAAGCACTTTCAATACTACTTAACAAACCCAGAAAGTTCCTAGTAGCCCTGGGTTGTTTGAATAAGACATCACTACCATAGGCTCATGTATTTGTCTGTATCTAAAACAACAAAAATAACAACAACAAAATCCAACAATCTAGTCTTGTAGGCAGTGAGCAGTGTTGCATTTAATACTTGGACAGAAACATCAAAGTTCCTTGGCTCCGAATTCTTCAAATTTACACATACATGCCCACACATATGTATATATGTTTCTTCAAGAAGTTATTATAGACGGAATTAAACGTGCTTAACTCTTTGTGTTTGAGTTGAAGGCTAGATACACCTTTTGTTTAAAGAAGTTCATTTTGAGCTACATTGTAGTTTTTTTTCCCCAAGAAGTTGGCAATATAATATCAGGATTGTTAAGGAACTAAATCAGTAGTCACTAAACATTTGCTTCATCAGGAGGGAATAATAGAAAAGATAGTATGGGGGAGTATTTTATCTAGATTATACTGTTTAAATAATTTTATCTCATAAGGTATTTCTATGACTGCAAAGTATCTGTTCAAACTTCATTTAGAATTTTCCTTTACAATTTTTCATTTTTACTCATTGTATTTAATACTCCTTCCCAGCTGATTTTTATGTGACTTTTTCATTATCTGCTGACATCTATTAATATCTATCTCACACAAATTTTTTTTGTCACATTCTCCCCCATTATTCTGTCTTCTCCCTCCCACCAAGCACAAAAAGATTGTCAGTTCAGCATGAATGAATGATCTGGTTCCATTCTATGATCTAAAACTGGGTGTGGTGGTTGCATGCCTTTAATTCCAACACTCTGGAGGGCAGAAGCAGAAGGATCCCTGTGAGTTTCCAGGCTATCCTGGTCTACAACGCAAGTTCTAGGACATGCTGGGCTGGTATACAGAGAACCCTGTCTCCAACCAACCCACCAACTCAACCAACCAACCAACTGATGCATTCTACTGCCTAATCTCGCACTCCTCTTGCTGACTGCTGTCAATCTTCATCTACAGAATAGTGTAATTTAGTTCTGCCTATGAATTGTAGTTATATTGTCATTGTTCCTTTTGTAACCTCATTAAGTAATCTGAACTGGAATTATCATGTTGTTCAAAACTGTTTTGATACTTTTAAAAATTTGCTTCCATAGGTGGTAACTTACATATTTATGGAAGGGGTTTTATTAGTTTACCATTTTTAATGTTATTCTGTTTTCAAGCCTTCCCTTGAGAGTAATTTCCTGCTCCTGTAGATTAATATATGTCTGTTTAGGTAGATGAGGCAGGAGCATGACATGTGAGCTCACCTGTTTGGAATATGGGCTACCAGCATATGGAATGTTCTAAAATTTTGTAAAACAAGGAAATAATAATACAGCCATACAACCATGAAAATTCATCAAAGGGCCATCTACACCAAAGCGAATACAAACTGTAAACGGAGCTAATTAGTATTCTGTTATAATTCATGAACTGGAAGTTCTTTAAGAAGTAAAAAGTAGTATAACATAAAATGTATAGTTTAGGGAGTCATTGGGTTCTTAACGATGCATTTGTTTTTAGATGGAAATATCAGCTCTACTGGATAGGCAGAGGGATACACAGAAAAGGGGGAGATGCCGTTGACATTACAATTTCTGTTACTTACAGATGTTTGTTAAGTTTTAGACAGTAATCTTAATTATGTTAGTGTTATCACATTTTATCATTTATCTGGAGATAAATTGAGGGAAAAAAACTTTTAAATTTGTTAGAATAAAATTTTCCTTAAAACGATATGTGATTTTCAAGACATTTGCTTAGCCTTTTAAATTCATCAAAATCAACTATAATTAGCATAAATTTTCATGAAATGTAAACAAACACATAAAACAAATATCTTAATATTCGATTTTGCTTGTTGATGGGTATAAATAACTAACTGAGAGGTCTTTCTAACTTCATGTTTTATTGTACCAATATAGAACACCTTTGCATTTGGCCTGTGCTAATGGATATACAAATATTGTGTGTCTCTTAATTGAGCATCAATGCAAAATGAATGTCCAGGATAGTAAAAACAGAACCCCATTGATGAAGGTGTGTTCCATTTTTCTTCTTTTTTTAGTAGAGAGTGTTTTTGCATACCTAGTTAAATTTTATTGATTTTCATGCTTTAAGCTGTAACATTGAACATTAGTTTCTGTATCTGAAATAGGAAACTGGTCACTCATCTATTGTTTTCCCATTGGTAGGCAGTACAGTGTCAACAGGAGAACTGTGCCACTGTCCTTCTACAGCATGGTGCGGACCCAAATCTGGTGGATTCTGATAGTAATACAGCCCTCCATTTTGCTGCTTGTGGTAAAAATACCTCACTAGCCAACAAGTTGCTCGAATACAAAGCCGACCTTGAAGCTAAAAATAAGGTAAACTTCTGTGAAAGAAAATATGTATTCATGCCTCAAAGCTATCCCAAGAGGTGGATGTAAATTGGGAGGAAGAAACACCTAGACACCCAAGGAAACAGAGCCCCAGCCTTCTGCAGCAGCCCTGAAGCTTCCAGCTTCTACAGCAGAAGTTTCAGGTATCATGGTCAGTGCTGAGAAGACAGAATGCTGAGCTCAGTGAAGCCCCATGACATGTCATCTCTGAACCCTAGAACTGTAATTTTGATGGGAATTCCATTTTGGATTAGATTTTCATTGTTTGTAGTTGTATCTAGTGGCTGTTTGGGGAAGTAGCATTTTATTGATCATTACCCCAGCGGAGCATAGCTCAGCCCATGTACACCTTCCGGGCTATGCTGACAGCTACAGACATAAAACTACGTGTAACAATTGCTCCCAAAATGTTGGCTATCTTTTGATTCAGGGCTTATTTCATGGCCTCTGATGGCTGCCTAGTTCGGGTGTTATTCTTATATACCTTGCTGTGCATGGAACCTAACATTCTATTGGCAATGGCTTTTAGAATCTCCATTGACATGTTATCCTCTGAGGCACACATCCATTCTTACACCTTTAATTCCGGGTCACATGCTAGTGGTAGTGGTAATTGAAGCAACCCTGCTAGTAGGGCTGTTATTAATTTAAATAAAAAGATTGCATCCCCCCAAAACACTGAATAATGTATTTATTTCAGATGCTTTACATAACAGAAATTTATATTTTAGTATAGAGACTGAATTGGCAGACTGAACTGAGAGACACATAGGTTATCAAATTCTGATAAAATTTTCCTTTCTTTAAAATTCTTGCATTTCACTGTAGACTTCATCCTGACATGAAAAGAAACATATCCATCAGTGATAATTCCCCAAATGGTCATACCAGATAAGAATGTTTGAGTTCTTCAAACATCACCTTTTAAAATTATTATGCAGTTATAGTAATAGAGCTGAATTAAAGATTAGTTATTTTGCTAAAAGTAGCCTAATTCTTCCTTTGAAATGTAGTGAATAACTAAAAAAATATTTTTTTTAAAAAAAGCAACTTGTCACTTCATTTTGCTGATACTTTGCATATAAGATAGTCTTGGAAGTTATTATATAAAACTATAGAAACACAAGTATATATAATTGTATGTACATTTGTGCTAATCATATAGAAAACTTACATTAAATGATAGGTATTTATGACTTGATCACTTTATACCTATGTTTTCAATTAAGCCTAGAATACAACTTGGCTTTTAAAAATGTAGCAGCCCATCCTTAATTCAAAGTCACATTTTTGTTAGATAATAAAATACTTCAAAAATTAGATTATATATTCAGGAATTTCTTATGAACATACTTTAAAAATTGTACTTAAACCTAAAAGACACAGAAGTAAAAATTGTTAAAGTAATTATTTTGAAATATTTTTTTACAGGAAGGCTACACTCCACTTTTACTTGCCATTGCTGAAAACAATGAAAATATGGTAAAATTCCTCCTGAAGAAAGGAGCAAATGTTAATGCATCAGATAATAAACACAGGTATAGGTATAATGAGTCAAGCTAAATAAGATGCCATATAATTGCAATTGCTTAATGAGACCATGTAAATACACATATTTATTAATATATCTTTGTGCGATATTTTAATTATATGGTATGATTTGGGACAAATTACCTATACATATCAAATGCCCATTTTTAAATATATAAGTCAGATTGCTTAACCATATGGGTAGCTTTAAGTTATTGTCATCATTTATAATTTTGAAATCTTACATAGGAGCCAATGTTGTAGTTAACTGGAGAGGGGACATAGGGTGCTCAATACTACCTCCCATGGAATTTTGAGACATCTTGAAAGCAGGAGGCTCTGAGAAAGCAGAAACAGAAAACCAGTGTATTAGCATTTCCTGGGGACTGTCTGTGTTTAGGTGCCATTCTATGGCCCGCGATTGCTGTGCAATTTTGAACAGACCAATGCAACTTTTCCCATTCCTTTCCTGACTCTTTAAGAATAGAGACCTTATGTTTGAATGGTAAGTTGAGAAAATAAATTTTGTCTTGCTCCAGAACAGCCATTATGATTGCTCTCATTTCTGAACCAACAAGTTCTGTAACACTCCTTCTTCAACAAGATACAGACCTGTCTTGCAGAGATATTTATGGATTTACAGCTGAGGAATATGCTTCTTTTAATGGCTTTACTACGTAAGTGATACTTTATGCCTTTTAATAACTATGTGAAGTAGGATCTTGAGGTCTATAGAATGAGCCCCCCAACACAGTTTTATAGGGTGATAAAAGGGGGAAAATAACATATAAACCCTGCAATTATGTCCTCAGAGATATTTCATTTCCTCCATTTATAGAATCAATGTAAGATGCATGTGTTGCATGAGTGACAGTTGGGACTACAGTGGCATGGGTATGTGAAATATGCTAGAACAGGGTTTCTGTGGACCATTAATAAAATATATAATTAGTACAGCTGGAGAACAGGTGATGTATATGTTCATTTTCTTTCATTATGTCCGTCTTTACTAATATAAAGAATGTATGTTATGGATATTTATCATCACCATTATACTATATAACTTCAATCTGATGTCTCAAAATTCTGAAGTATATTCTCATGACACAAGACAAAAGATTTACAGGTATAAACATGCATTCCGATTTCTAATAGTCAATGAGATAATATACAATACACTGAGATTTAATTTATAGCTAAGGAAGTGAAATATTTCTTTAACTATAAGTAGTATACATTATTTAAAATATAATTTACTTTAGAAGAAAATTTAAATTATACATACTTTTTCCTCCCTCTTCTTGATCTCTCCTTTTCCTCCCTCTCATTTTCTATGTTCTTTCTTCTCTCTCTTTGCTTTATCTTCTCTCTGTGTTTTTCTTTTTGTCTTTCTATGTAGCCCAGGCCTATCTCAAACTTTTTTTTGTTCATATTCCAGTTCCCCCTCCCACCCTTCTTATCTCCCTCTCTACCATGCACCTCCGACCACCCTCCCATCCCATAGCACCCCCCATTCCACAGGGAGGGTGATGCCTTCCAGAAGAGATCATCAAAATCTGTCATTTGAAGTAGGGACTAGGTCCTCCCATCTGCCTCTAGGTTAAGGGAGTATCCCTCCATGGGGAATGTGCTCCCAAAGTGCTGTTGTACACCAGGGATACATCCTGGTTCCACTGTCAGAGGTCCCTTAGACTGCCTAGCTCTTCTAACTGAGACCCATGTACAGGGGTTCTGAGTTGGTCAATTCTGGTTTCCCTGCTATCAATCTGGGGGCCCATTTATTCCTCCTTGTTCATCATATCATATAAATCTATTGCCTTTTACTATTTCAAACTTCCTGTATAGTCAAGGCTGGTTTTGAATTTCTGATCCCCATTGCACATCCTCCTTAGTTGTAGGCTTTAGGTTTCTACTGCCTTCTTTCACCTAGTTTTATCATGTGTGTGTGTGTGTGTGTGTGTGCGTGCGTGTGTGTGTAAATGAATGTATGTGTGTTGGTCCATGTGTACATATGATGAGGCCAGACACTAACTTCGGGCACCTCCTTCACACAGGGCCTCTCATTGGCCTGGTGCTAACCAGTTAGGCAAAGGAGGGCACAGGATCTAATCATGTCTCCCAGCAGCTCATCATGCTTCCCTTCTTACATGCATCCTAGGGATTGACCACACATCCTCATGATTGTAAGGCAAATAGTTTTTGACTGAGTTACCTACCCAGCCCTCTATGTACATTTTCATAACACTTTGAATCACTGCAGTGAACAATCAGGTGTTTATTTTTTGTTTATTAAAAGAATTTAAAAACACCTCATTAATTCTTTGTGGTTTATGGCACAAACAATTGATATTGGCCTAGTGTTCATTTTGTTTTGAATATTTATTGGCACGTACTGAATTTACATAGTGCTGTGTTTCATATGGCTACTTCAGTCATATATGTTGACCAAATTTGCCCTCCTACCATTCCTTCCCTTTAGTTCTCTCTCCCTCCACCCCTGCTTATCTCTCCCATTCTCCTCTCTGTCTTCTATTTTACATTACACACACACACACCCATTTCATACGTCTCTAAAGAGTTTTTCCACCCGCAAATGAATGAAAACACAATTATCTCTTTGCGTGTGATTTATTTTACTATAATCTTCAATCACACCCATTTTATAGTAGACAACATAGTTTCACTTGATAATAAAGTAAGTTATATCACGTGTAAAGAAATAGTAAGGACAGACATTAATGAAATGGAAATGAAAAGATCAGTGTAAAAATTGAGGAAATATAAAGGTGATTCTTTGAAAGAATAAAGAACATTGACAAGTACCTAGACAAACAGGACAAAAAGTTGAGCTAGAGAAGATCCAAATTAATAAAATTAGAGAGAGAAAGGGAAAGTTTACACCATTGGGATTCAGTGAATTACTAAGGCGTACTTAGAAATTCTGTGTTTTATAAATATAGGAGAAAGGAATACACGTCTGGACATATATGACCTACTAAACTTAAACCAAGAAGCTATAAACAACCTAAATGTACCTATAACATACAATGATAATAAAGTTTCCCTTCTGACAAAATCCTCAGGCCAGATGAGTCTGCTGCTCAGGTCTACTATACTTGTAAAGAAGCATAAACCCCAATGCTTCTCAATTATTCCGTATGTCAGAAAATGAAGGCATCCTGGCATATTCCATTTACAAAACCAATATACTATACCCAAACCTGACAAGAATACAACAGATGAAAACTCTATAGGCCAGGCTGGATATGGTGGCACATGCCTTTAATCCTTGCACTTTGGAGGCAGAGGCAGGTAGATCTGTATGAGTTTGAGGCTATCCTGGTCACATACTGAGTTCTAGGCCAGACAAGGCTACCTGGTAAGACCCTGTCTCAAACAAGTAAGCAAAAAAGCATTGTAGACTAATATGGTTGTAAAACTTCCCAATCAAATTCACCTATACATGATAAAGAGCATGTTATTGTGATTTTTACTGCTTGAGAAAATGTTGTCTGTCCAGTATACTTTAATAAATACATACTGTGTTTCATCACTCCCTGGTTCTATGACACAGTGAGAATGGAAATATAGACATTGCTTTTTTTTTAAAACAACAAGTAAATTGGAGCTGGGCATACAGCTCAGTGGTAGTTGCCTTGCAAGGCTCTGAGCTGGACTTGGGGAGCATGGGCAAACTAAACAGAGTGGAAGCATCTCATATGATTGAGTAGCATTTAGTTCTTTATTTTACAATTAACTTTAAATCATTTCAGTTCACTGAAATGCTGGAAACATAGACTTACTAGTAAACAATTGGGATCCTTTCAGGCATGATGCAAGTATTGATTTATTTCAGTCCCTGACTAGCGTCTTCACTTCATTAATTTTCTGTTAAAGCCAAGGGCTATGAGCTAGATTTTGTTCTCTTCAAAGGCATATATTAAAGCCTTAATCCCACTTTTCCTTACGTGAATGAATAAATACTTGGTGATAAGGTCTTTAAATGGGTAATTATGGTAAAAATAAAGCCAGCAGAACAGGCCCCAATCCAATCCGATGTCTTTACACAAAAAGGAGACTTAAGACACAAGGAGAAATTCAAAGGATGGTGTTATACAGAGGGACAGTGGATTTGAAGACTCAGTGAGAGGACACAAGGCAAGGGGAGGCCCTCACTAGGAACCAACACTTTAACCTTGACCTTCTAGCCTACATCTGACAAACAAAACCAAACCTCCTGTTTGCACCACATGGCTGGTGCTTTGTTGTGGCAGTTATATCAGATGATCACACCAACAATGATTCATAGCCACCTTTTCATTTCTACTTGATGGGTCACCTTTAAAAGTCATATTTGTGATGGGGTGGCAGATGGTGAGACCACATGAAATAACATAGTGTCTATTAGCAGGTGACTTGAGAGAGAAATTGAAGGGAAGGAAACAGCTGAAGAGGGGTTGATTTTTAATAATATGAATTGATTTTTTAATGAATTTTGCAATTTATGTATAACTTCTCTATGGATAGGTTTCATCAGATAATTGCCAATAATGGAAACAAGAAGAAAACTAAATCAACAGCTTACTGACCAAGCAGTTCCTCCTGTTCCTTTATATTTTCTTTCAAGAAAGAAAACAAATCTTTTCTTTTCAGAGTAATAATAGCTATGAAATTAAAGTTTTCCTCTGTTTTGAAGTCATAAATCATTTTGAAGACTTTCTTGATCAAAATTTCCTGATGCTATGTGTACTAAAATCTAAAATGATATGCTAAATGATTGAAAACTTTCCTATGGTCTCTTGAAATGTTATAAGGGGCAAAGTTTTTGCATTTATACAGAGATTTTAGTACCACAAAATGGTAAGTTTATATAAATATCATTAGCAATTAATGTGATAAAATTATGACATAAAATTAAAAATTAAGTAACACCAGAGGAGCTGAATTTACCTGTATGTACAAAAGTTATTTTGATACTCATTTTCAGAAGTACATGTAGATATTCAAGCCTGTAAATTACACACACACACACACACACACACACACACACACACACTACAGATTTATTTCAGCCTGATTCCTGAAGATAAGCTTCATGATTATTCTAGGCCTGCTAGAGAAAATATTTATTAAAATAATGGCTTCTCTCTTGAGTGGAAATCAAATTATACCCGTTTTTATCCTTTGCTCCTCTTCTTATTTTCAGAGCTCATCATTTTTAGTTCTTGTGGGTTTAAAGCAAAACTCACCTCACCAGCTCTACACAATTCACACAGTATTATGTTTGTCTTTTCTCCAGATTAAACTTTTATGAGAATAAAAGTTGTATGTGGTTCAGCAAATACTTCCTTGCTCTCCTGACCTCTTTTTACTTTCAGACCAACTTGGTTTGTGACTTGCCACCACCCAAAACAGTATAAGTGGAAATGCAGGTTTCCCTTTGACTCCTAGAAGCCCATGGCTCTTTTGCTCATAACTTTCCCAAGGACAGTATGCTTAGATTGTAATTTTTCACTGTGGGTCTCAGCATAATAGTAAATTGTGGGTCTCACAATGGGTTTCACATGTGGTACAGATCTCAATTCAAGACTAGCAGTTACCAGGAACCCAGTTGTGCCTACCAGAGCCATGGCCAATACTTAGAATTGAGAAGTGAATGTTTCTTACTCATTGAGACTTAGAATTGTTTATTGCAATTACAGCAAGCTGATTATACCTGGAGGAGAAAGTCAGAGCATGCGGCAGGTCACTCACACAGCACCCAGGAGAGATGCACTCTCTGTTTCATACCTGGGTTGCAGATACTTCTCTTCATGCCCTTGTCACACAGTAGCTCTGTCTTACATCTTCACCAGGGTCCTTTACCATCACAGTAACAGAGCAGTCATTTCCTTGCCAATGAGACTTGCAAGAGTTTTCCAGCTCTGCTATACATGTATCTTGTTTGTAGTGCATTGCCCAGGTATAACATGGTGAATCAAGGGCCTTCCTCACAAAAGATACTTTTAACAGTGCAAGGGGAAGTAATGCCATGATGCATTCATTATTAATATATGTAACATATATGATAGTGTTATGCAATAGCATTTATTTTGCTATCTTTTCTGGGAAGTGAATGATTCTCATGCCTATTACCACCCATTTGTTTTAAAAGAAGCAAACACCTTTCAAAGGAGTTGTATAGATGAGGATTATGTCTGGTTACTGTAGCAAAATGTAATCATTTTGAGCAATGCAACTTTGTCTTTGTCTTACAATTTTTTTTTTTTTTTTTTTTTTTTTTTGGTGGAGTTGCTTGCAGTTGGGCCTGCTGCTTGTAGGGTGCATGTTTTGAGTCCTTACTCATGCTGCTGTGGGCTGTATGGTGACGCAACTGCCTTTGAGCCGCTTGGGCTTCCTTAAGTAACCCGTTGCCTGTGCTCCTGCAAGCCAATTCAGTAAAACCGCTGTTCACCACGCCAGACTCAGCTGGCATCATTTTGTCATTAGTAGGTAACTTATCTAGGGCGAGTAGACATTTGTTCATGTCTTCCTAAGAGAAATTTGAACAATGTTTACTTCCATATTTCTTGGCCCTTGACCCTAAAAATCACATCACTGTGACCCGAACTATTGTGGACATGTCCTTTGGCTCTCTTATATCCCTCCTACACTTATAATATTAGATCCAGTTAGATTTCCCAGAATCCAAACACTCTTTATCCAATCACACCATTAAGCCCGATTTATCGGGAAAAGCAACATTAGGATATGCATTTCAGAGCCTCTATTTTTCCTTCAGTGGAAGCGTATTGGTTAGGGTTTATATTGCTGTGACAAAGTACCATAGCCAAGGTAACTCATAAGTCAAACATTTTATTGGCCTTCTATGGTTTTAGAGGGCTAGAGTCCATGATGATTGAGTAAAGATATGATGGCAGGAACAGCCGAGTGATCACATCCTGATCCAAAAGTAGGAGGTATATAGAAAGCTATATAGAGATAGAGGGGAAGAAGAGAGGAGAGGAGAAAGGAGAGGAGAGGAAGGGAAGGGGGGGGAGAAGGGAGGGGAGGAAAAGAAAGGAGAACATTAAAGATGGCCTCATCTTTTGATGAGTCTTTTGAAACCTCTAAGCTATTCTCCAGTGACTTACCTCCTCCAACAAGGCCATACCCCCTAATCCTTTCCAAACAGTTCCACTGACTGGGAACCAAGCATTCAAATAAATGCACCTATGGAATCATTCTTATTCAATCCACTACAAAGCAATTATTAGGGGGAATCATTTACCAGTTGAAACATTTTAACTTTGAGGTAATCTCAATCTTACTGAAAAGTTGTCAGCACAAATAATAGTTATATTTTCCTGAATTAACTGTGAAAACCAACCTTACTTTTGAGACATCCATATATAGTTTTATCATGTATATCTACAGCATTGCCATATAAATCATTGAGTTAATATTAGCATAATGCTGCCATAGAACCTTCAGATTTCATTCACATTCTTCCACAGGCTTCACTATTGTCTTGCACTTTCTTTTGTCCTGTCTTCAATATCTTTTATAGCAAAGGGAACTGACATTGTTCCCATTTGTCATGAGTCTTCAGTCTCCGCTTTCTATTGGGTTCTTTTAATGAATGATGGTGCTGTTGTTAAATAGGAAGTCTTTGAACTTCAGTTTAATTGTGCCCTGTGACTGGATCCTTATTATGTGGCTTTGGTGGTGTACTTTGACTTCCCGAATCCACCTATGTGTTTCTGAATTCACATCACTGAAATGCACACCCAAACATTCATTTGCCATAGTTTAATATCCTGTGACCTAGGCCTAAATGGGTTAAATAGCATTTTTTAGTATTGTGAATGTAGTTTTGCCCTCTTGGGTCTCTGCTCTTGGAGAACTGCCATTTATATTCAGTTCAGTGGGTAAAGTACGTGCACCTTCTCCACAGGTTCAACTCTACCATCAGTTGCATAGAACTGTTCTACATTAAAAGCTTTATGTGTTTGTGAGTGGTACTGGATTATTTCTTATGGGGACACTTGTGTGTGGAGCATTCTTCCTTGTGTTTGCATATTTATATGCTTTCTGCAGATTTTGAATTAATTATAATGCACCACAGCCACTTCTCAGTGCTGTCAAGTTGATGTTCTGAAACGTGTACTCTAAACAAGGCTGTTTCCATCTTCCATAAACTCTATAATGGTGTACGTTCTTGGTTAGATTGCTTAATGAAGTCATGTCATTTGTTTCTAATTCAGTGTTCTACAATCCTGGTTTTGAGGAATTGTTTTGCTTGACACTTAATACTATGTGCTTATTCTGTAGTAGGATTAATTTGGGGGAACATCTGCCTCTCGTGTTTGTTTTTTAAATTGTGTTTATACTAGTTGTCCTTTTGCATGCTAATTTCCATCTTTGTTTATTCATTATGCTTACTTGTGGGGAGAGAAGGAAAATATGCTGTGGTTGTTGACATTCCTCATGGCTGGCTTGTGCAGTTGTACTCAGGCCATTTATTAAACATTTGCTTCTGTTCTTTATTTCTACTGAAATAATTCAAGAAGGATTTCCTTTACCTCTCACCTTATCTCCCACTCTATTTCCACTGTTTTTTTTTTTTTTTTTTTTTTTTTTTTCCTGTCAGCTTTCTCTTGTCAAGTTTCTGGTTCATAAACACTGTAAGGAGACAGTAATGTGGCAGTTGTGTTCCTAGATAAAGATTTTAGGTGCTTTGGGGTATTTTTTTTTTTAAATTAAAAAAAATAAAATCTACTTTTTCTTTATAACAAAACGGAATAACAGTTTTGCCATCTAGTGGACAAGCTCAGCGCTGTTTCATTTGTAGAGCAGAGAACCTGTAGAGGTCACACAAAGACAGAGATAGAAAGTGATCAGTTAGCCTCAGCCAGTGTGGGCCAGATTGGATTGCATAGGATTGAAATACTTCATCTCACTTTGGATTGTTCCTTATAGGCTGACATTAGAGACACATAACCTTATTATAGATGAACCATGCTGCTCTTAGCCATATTTTTAAGACCTGCAGTTTGCTTAGTTTTTATCCTTTACTTACAGTGGACCTATGTCCTGAAAACAAATAGATTGGAAATATATGATCTGAAACTCTATTTAACATATCTGTACCATAAAACATTGTTTAGCAATGCAGCTGTTCTCTCTATGATCTCATGACTGCTTGAGTGTCTTACCACCGTGGCCCAACTTTCCAAGACAAATATGTCTGGGTATACAATTGTAGACAAAAGAAAGTTGATGGGAGATGTCATTCTGTAAATATGTTTCTCATACTGGTTAATGAATAAAGCACTGTTGGCCAATAGGAAAGCTAGATAGGTGGGACTAGGAGAGAGGGAGGAAAGAGGAAGGAGGAAAGAGAAGGGGAAGAACAGAACCACCGGCCCTCGCTCTCTGGTAAGACCACGTGGAAATACATAGAAATGGGTTAATAATTAAGGCAGAGCTAGCCAATAAGAAACTAGCACCTGGCCAACAGCATTATATCAGATACAGAGTCTTGGTGTATTAATTGGGGCTGGTGTGGCGGCGGGACAAGACCGGGGGCGGGAGGAAAAACCTTGCTCCTTACACAGTGTTATACAGAATATAGCAA